ATGTTGTCTTGTATGTTTCTCGCGGGGATGAATCCGGACTGATCCGGGTGAATGAGGTGTGTCATGTTTGGCAGCATACGGTTTGCCAACGCTTTAGCCACCATTTTGTAAGGCACCGACAACAACGTTATTGGTCTATAATTCCTAATTTCCTGTTTTGCCCCTTTTTTATATAGTAGCGTAGTCACTCCCTGGTTGAGAAGACCTCCAAACGTGCCCTCTGTGAGGACAGCGTTTGTGTATTCTATGAGGTCGGCGCCCAGCAGGGGCCAAGTGGCCATCCATAATTCTTTGAGGAACGAATCCAGGCCCGGGGTCTTCTCATCTTCCATCTGTTGGAGGGCTGTATAGATTTCAGAGGAGGACAAAGGGGCGTCCATTGATTCCTTTTGGGCGTGGGTGAGCTCGGTTTGGAGGTTGGCCAATAGTTGTTGTCTGGCGTTGTGGAGTTGCTCTTCTCCTCTCCGGTTCGTTCTCGAGGTGAACAGATCACGGTAATATTTGGCGGCATAGTCAACGATCGCATTTGGATTCGTGGCCTGGGGCTGGTCGCTGTCCAGGGGGTGGGCAAGGAAGTTGATGGTCACTTGTCTGCCTCTGGCTTTAGCTTTTGCAAAGAAGGTCTTAGCCATCGTCCACTCTGTGTGCACCCGCTTGATTTTTGCTTGGACTCTCCATGCCTCAACCTGCTCGTCCAAGTACTCTTGGAGTCTGTCTCTTGCTTGTTGCGGTCGAGCATAGGTTTGGTTGTCAAGCGGGTGTGTAGAGAGTTGGTCGTCCCATTGCTGCAAGGTGTTGAGGAGGTCTTCAAGGATCGATTTCCTTTCCCTGGCTCTTTTGACAGAGAATTTCTTGACCCTTTCTCTCAGCTGTCCCACCCCCTGATTGAACCACTCCACCGTTGATTGAAAAACCGTTTTTTTGGAAACCCAGTACTCCCAATATTCCTTGACACAGTCATGGAAGGAGGGCAATTTCAGCAGGGATGTGTTGAGTTTGAAGAAGCTCGGCCCCCTTGCGAAGGCCGGGTGGAAACCAGGCCTATGGCGGTCATCTTGTGGTCAAAGGAGCGGCATGGGGACACAGGGAAGATCTCGGCAACCCCCAGTGGACCCACGAGGTCTTCGAAAATTAGAATGAGATCTATCTTGGAATTGGACCGACCTTCATCGCCCCTTGATCTTGTACATGTGAAACTTTGCTTGGTCGGGTGGAGCTTTCTGAAGGAGTCCACCAGTCGGAACTCAGCCATCATCTGACTAAAGAACAGGGCGTCCAGCCCTAGCTTAGGTTGGGTTTGTGGTTGGTTGTCCGACGCAGATGAGCTCCTTCTATCCACAGTCGGGTCCGGTGCAAAGTTAAAATCACCTGCCACGATGAGGGGGATGTCAGCAGGTATGTTGTGAATAAGATCTAGAAAGAACTCAACTCTTTTTGTTGCTGTGTTCGGGGCATATACACAAACGAGGCCCACTTCCTCATCCCCGTTGCTGGCTTTAAGATACACCCACCTTCCGTGGACTTCATCCACCATCACCGATAGGGGTTTTAGTCTCGATGTGGGTGGCAGCCAGATTGCCACACCGGCTGAATGAGATCTGGATGAGAACGCATTGAAAGCGGTGTATGGCCAGACATCCGTCGCTTTTGATGCATGGGGGGGGGTGTTCATAAGGTGCGTCTCCTGTACGCAGACTGCATCGGGCCAGTAACGGGGATCAGAAGTTCATATCATATTCCAGATTGCTGCTTTTTTTTGGTTGGTCGCTATTGAACGGATATCCAAGTTGGCTTTGAGCGGGTCTTTTTCCCATTGAGGGGGCTTCCTTAGTATAGGCGGGACCTGCGGCTCCGGAGGGGCCACAAGTCTGGAGTGTTGGGCATCACGAGGAGGCACGCCGTGTTGGCCGATTGGGGTAAGGGGGTCGTTGTATATTTTGGACTGCCTTTCCATAGCCTGTCCCCTACCTGTTTAGTAGGTTAGTTGTTGTGCCCATGCATCGCATTGGACATGAGTCCGTGTGAGAGGATCACTCCAATTATGTGTCTAATGTGATATGCCAGCCACACCTGACAGGTTCTAAGCCTAGTTATCGGGAGTTGCTGCAGCTCTTCCTCCTTGAGCCATTCCGCCTGGTCTAGGAGACACTTATTGGCTGTTACCTGAGCGGGTGGTATGTGCCAAATGACGATATGAATCTGTGAAGGAAAGGGGAGGCCGGCCGGAGAAAAAAGGCGTTTGAGAACGTCTTCGACACACGTGTCGTACAACTGTTGCAGGTGGGAAGCCACCTGCTGACAGTCCAATTTGCCTTTCCATCCTAGAAGAGAAAGCCCTGCAGGCAGCTTAAGATAATGCTGCCTTGATTTAAAAAAACCAAACATCGGGCGTTGGGTGGGCTGGTCATGGGAGAGTAAGATGAGCAGAGTTGTTTCTCTGAGATTTGCGAGGTCCCAGTTTTCTTGTCTCTCCGGCCAATCTTTCATTTTCCCCCTGATGGTGGTTTTCGTGTGTCGCCCACCCTCCGGTCGGTCCACCCGTGTCGGTATTGTATCAGGGCCCGCGAGCCTGCTCATGTCCTCCTCCTTCTCCTGCTCCTATTCTTCGTCCGAAGTGTGATCTCTGTCCTCCCCTTCTGAGGACGAGAGGAGATCAATTGGCATATCGCGATTCTCGGAAAGCGCTGTCTGTCCCGGGGAGTTGAGCAGCGGCGGCCATTCATCCTTCCCCTGTTCAACTAAGGTTGCGTTGGAAGGGGGGATGACCGCAAGAAGGTGAGGCGGAGGGTCTCTCCGCGGGTGTTGGTGGATGACGGCAGCAAGTGGGACCGGTCCAGGCTCCTCCTTCTTGTCATTCGTTTGGGGGTTGTTTGGCACGTCGGCAGCTGGCTCGTCCGGTCCAATCTTGAATAATCTACTGCGGATTACCTTGTCAACCACCCCACTAGTAAGGTAGGCTATGTGGGCCCTGTCAATGTCTTTCTGGGACGGGAATGCGTCGACTGTCTCCACCATTGGAGGGCAGTTTGCTACCAAGTTGGCTACAGTGGCCCAGTAGTGTTCCGGGAGGGATTTTGCAACCTGGATCGTGGTGTGTTTCAAGTAGTCCTGCAGAGGCAGAGCCCAGTCTGCAATTTTCCTGAGCCTGTGAATCACTTTCCGCGTCTTAGAGAGGCTCTCCTCTTATGGAGGATGTTTGGGGGGAAGCTCCACTTCCATGTGACTCCGTTCGTCAAGTGGCCTTTTTGCTTCCCGTGCTGGCATCAGGTCAAGCTCGGGTTGGGCAGTTGCAATTTCCATGGGGGCCGGTGGCTGAGGGCGGTCTTCGTCTCCGTCCCGAAAGTGACGAGTGTGGTCGGTGTCGACGTGTCCTCCCTGCTGCTGGTGAGGCAGTGGGATTTGGGCATCAAGACCCCAGATCTCATGGAGGGGTTGATCTGTGTAGAGCCATGCACAGGTATTCCTCACCTGCGACCGCCACATTGTGTAACCCGGGCCGGATAGGTGTTGTGCCAGGGACATTGTCTCCGTGAATTCGTAGCCCTAAGGAAGGATTCCCAGCGTCTGATGAATTTGTGCGGCCCAATGAATGACCGGGCCGCTATACTGAGGCATATCAAGGGGGAGGGGCAGGACAGGGGCCACAAGGGGCACGGTGTCCACTTCCATCTCAGGGAGGAGGGGAGGGACAGAGGCCACAGGGGGCACGGTATCTACTTCCATGTTGTCAAGGATCGTTGCACAGGCTCCCCGGTCAGCGCCCTGTTGTGGGTCCATTTCCATTTTTGTGGTGGACTTATCCTGTTGGGGTTGGTTGTTGTCCCTGGGGTAACAGTGACATCCCTCTGCGGGTTCCGTTTGCTGCTGTTCGGGCAGTGGGCCCCGTTGTTCTTGGCTTAGTCGGATCGCCAGGAACTCCCCTCTTGTGGGATGCATGCACTGTTCCCCCATGTCATCCCTGATCTCTGTTACCTGCAGGTGCATGGGGGCATCAAACGCGAGCGGGCCTTCACTGTTTTTCGAAATTGTTGTCGGGGCCAGTTTGTTCCCATTCTCCAGAGAGCTCTGTGTCGGGGTGCACCTGGCATGTGGCTGTGTTCCGTTTTCCGAATCCATCATCTGGCACGGTTCTCCCCCCATGTTTTGTGTGCCCCGTTGCTGCATTGACAATTCTTCAAGGGCGGCCCCACCTGCCATTTGTTGTCGGTCCTGCAGTTCCTCGCTTGCCTCCTGCAGGAGGCTACTCCTCCGTGTGTGGTGATCTGGGGGCTGCCAGGGTGAGTGGAGGAGGAATGTTTTCTCTCCAGTCAACTCGGAAACGACCTCCTTGAATCGGGAGTCAGCAGGAAGGCGGGCCCATGGCGGAGTTGAGAGGGGAGGTTGGATCATTCGGAAGGCCGGGGAGGCAGGAACCAACTTGTTCTCGCAGGCAGACGGGGGGAAGACTGGCACGTGCTGCTGATCAGGCAGTTTGTTCAGGCTTGTTGTTGTTCCCCTCTTTGCCTGAAGGCCCACAACTATCGAATTTGGGAGGGGGGTTTGCAGGTCCTGCGTATGGCAGTGCTTCTGTGTGTGGTTAGCGGGGGAGGCAGGGACCACCTCTTTCGAGGTGGCGATCGGGGAGGAGGATATTGCGAGCTGCTGATGTAGGAGTCTGTTTTGGCCTCCCTTTGCCAGGAACCCAACTGCTGTTGAATTTGGAAGGAGGGTTTGCGGATCCTGCGTGTGATAGTGTTCGTTTGTGGGGCTCTCTCCGGTCTGCATGAGGGCTCTGATTCTGGACAACGCATTCTCTATTTTCCCGTATCGGGCCATCGCCTTCACCAGTCCATTCACGTTCACCTTCACCTTCTCCAGGCTTGACGGCTCCACCTGCTTGGCTGGTGGTGGGGAGGGCTGAGGGGTTCGGGCGAGGGGGAGTTGGAGGGTGTCCGCAAGGAGGTTGCCATCCGTTCTTGGACCCTGCGAGACGTGCGGATGTGAGCTTCCATCCAGGGATGTGGTTTCATCCCGGTTTGTTACCTAGCCCTATCTGTGTATAGCATCAGGCTTCGTTGCCGTGTTGCCGTCGGGGGCACGAGTCTGCGGAGGCAGTGCGAGTGCAGTTGTCTGGGAGATCTGTGTCCTGCCAACTTTCTGCAGTGGGATCCCGGTGGCCTTGCTTGCCTCTCCTGCATCATCGATACTGATTCCGGGTTTGGCCTTATTGGTTCTCAGACCGCTGTGTGGGACAGGTCTCTGAGGAGCAGCCACAGCCGCCATTGTTCCGGAATTCAGCAGCGGGGCTCCCGTGGTGTTGTGTGCGACTGTTTTCACCTCAGAATTCACGGTCCTTTGGCTAATCAGCAACGGGACAGTCGTGACCTTGAGCATCCTCTCCGCAGGGCCGTCGTCGGTTCCTGGCTTGCTCGCAAGGGCAAGGGCACCATTGCGGGGAGGAGATGTAATCGTTGTCATTTCTAAATTATCTTTCGTGTGTAACGCCACGGCAGCAGTAACGTCGATTCCTGGCTTGTTGAGAAGGGCACGACCTTGGGACGCCGGTACGACTGCAGACTTGTCTGAATTCACATTCCCCCCTCCTTCCAGTAATGGGGTTCCCGTGCCATTTTGTGGCACTGGATTCTCCTGTCCGGTTTTTTGTCTCCATTTTGCTGGCCCAGAGCGGTCCTCTGAGGACCTGTGAGAAAGTGCATTTTGCAAGATGGGTCCTTTCCGGGCCAAGAAGGGTGATTTCATCTGCTGGACCGGCTGTGTCTGGTCAGCAGACCGTCTTCGGAGAAGCAGAGGGGGGTTTTCATCCTCTGTGTCATTATCCTCCACGAGGATGACCACCTTTGTCTGTTCCAACTCCGGTCTCTTTCCTCTGTCTTGTCCTTCGACTGCCTGTTGACCCCCCTTTACTGCTGCCATTGCATCGTTCTGCTCCGGGGAGGATGCCATTTCCTTCTCCTGGGAGGTGCTGTCGTTCACCCGGGGATTGCCGGTGACTCCTTTATCCAAGCGAAGTCTGTGTCCAGGCTGCTCTCCCAAGGTTGCCTTTTGTGTGTGATTCTCACCCGGCTGTGTGAGATTCTGACCCGGCTTCGGCCCACCTATTGTTTCTTTGTGGTCTTTCGTGGTGGATTGGTGGGCGTTCGTGGAGCTTGTTGCTGTTTGTTGCACCGGGCCAGGTCCTTCGTCTGAGGGCGGTCTGTCGCCGGGAATTTCCATCCACCCGGCCAATGTTGGGGGGGACTATCCCCTTCCCACTCCCATTTCCCTGTCATTTTCCCGAAGTCTCTCTTGAATACCCACCCTTTGAGCGAGGGGTCATCCGAGAGCCAAGTAGAGTCTTCCGAGGGGTGTTGGGTGACCAATCCTCTGGGAAGATTCCTGTGGTTGGCTGGGCAGGCATCGTCGTTGTAGAGATGGCCTCTACCTTTGCAGACATGGCACCAAGGATTCTGGGGGTGACTAAGTGGGACTACCCCCATCTTCCCATCTGCGTGGTAGTGCCACTCGTCCAGGAGTGGGAATCTCTCGTCCGGGTGCCAGTCCACGGCTATAAGCAGGGTGTCGTCTCTCTTTGCCAGAAAGTGGGGGAGACCGTTAATGAAGCCTTTGATGGGCGCGATTTGTTCTATCATTTTGAGGATCTCCCCCTGGATGTGGATCGGTGCAAAGCTGAACTCCACCCAGTAGTGGTTAGCCATGAGCTGGAGGCGTCTCTCGTCCGGAGAGAGTGGTTTGTCCGGTTTCCATTGTTGGATTCGCACTTGCGCTCCCCTGAAGGTCGGGTTGTGCAGTCGGAGAAGGTTTTTCTTGTCTATAAGATTAAGGGCGAGCACAGTGACCGTGGAGATCCTGGAGGATTCTATCCAAAAATGGTCAGACGCATCTCCCGCCGACATCTTTTGGGAACGAAGAATACCGAAAACCCATTTGAGTCTGTCATTGAGGAGGGTGGACAGGGCCATCAACGGGAAGATGAATTGGACTGTGTGCTCGTCGTACATCTGATTCCTCACTGCCAGGACCTAAGGGGAGATGATCGAAAGGGGGCATAGTGTGTTATTTCTTACTTGGATGCATCGAGTCAAGTCCCAAGGGGGGATTGTTGTCGGATATGAGGGTCGTGTTAAGTGAAGTGCCTCCTGGTTGTGCTGGTATGCTTCCGGTCGGATCCTTATTCAGTCCCCCCTTGATCACTTCTGCCCACGTTCTTCTCTGAGATGGCTGGGTTGTTGTCTCCCTCCGGTTTGAGCTGTTGTCCGGGGGGGCTCGGTAACTCTGTTGTGGTGACCCATTGTTCTTCTCCCCATTCGACAGTGTCGACTGATGGAGTGCGCCGTGTCATTTTTTGTGCATCGTTTTTGCAAATCTATCATCAGCCTTCGGCTTGCCGGTATCCTTCCCTTCTTCCCTAACATTTGAGGTGCCATACTGTTGAATGTGCGGGCCGTAACTTACTGCATTTGAGGCCGCGCGACATGTATGAGTGTCCCCATGTTTCGGTTGCGTGGCCAGGCTGCCCTGGGCTTCATTCGGGGAGGGGGAAGGATGGAGCGGTGTCGTGGCCATTCGTACGATATTTCGGCTCGATCGGCCGAAAGGGTGATGGATCGTAGGCCGAGGAGGACGGTTTGGGGGAGGAAGGGTGTTGGATCGTAGCCTGGGGGGGGGGAAGAGGG